CTGACTGCTATCCTAATAAAAAAAAATTTTATTGCTAAAATAAAACCGTGCAATATTTTTGTCCCCCCTCGGTATATATACAATGTATTTTTATTTTTTAACAGAATTTTTTTTTCAAATCCATTGTTAAAATATAAAAAATAAAATAAAATAATGCAAAGTTAAATTAAATATCCATTAAATTTCGAACATTAGCGTTAAATCTTTTATTTCATTATATGACAACGAGATCGACGCACGTTTTTATCGTTAAACCGATTCTACAAAAAAGAATTCCTCAAATGGGCTTGTTCTCATGGTCACAATGTAAATCAAACTATGGTTGAACGTCGAATTAAAGAATTTTGGTACTACAGATATTATGAAGCTTGTAGAACCTACTGCAATTTCGGCAGTTGCAAAAGCGCTATCAATTATTATGGCTTTACCATTTGCGCATACTTTGATCAATCACTCGGATAATTGTGTATTCGGGAATTATATACCTCAAAACTTAATAATTTTGTTGACGAGTTTTGATTACTGTCAAAATGGTGTAAACAGTTGTAGCGGATTTAACTATCTGGTGTACTGATCCAAATGTGATTTTAATAGCAAGATCTTATCGCTGGCTGCTCGTTGCTTATAAAAGTTCTTTTGCTATTTCAATTGGATATTTAAATTTACAATTGGAGTAAGCGCTTTTTTTTTAATTTAAGCGATATGGCAACTTAACGATATGCTATGAATTGAAATAAAGATTTTTTTTTTTTTTTTTGATAAATATAGAATTAAATTACTTTTTTAGGCGATATTTTCAGTTGTACACCGCATGAGTTTTTTTCTCATTTATTTTTAAATTTAATTCTCCTGTTACTCGTTGTTAAAAATACAAATCCGTTAAGATATTAACTTCACCTCGCTGTTTTTATCGTGGGTTTTTTTTGATGTAATTTTTTTATCGTTCTAGATAATTTTTTTTTACGATTTTTAAGCTGAGCCAATTATTGGATGTTAAGAAATAAGACGAAAGCGATATTTCAATCAGATTTAAGTGTAAAATTCAGAATAAAGTCCATTATTCCAATTTAGGGATTGGAATCTATTTCGATAATACTCCTAACTCATCATTGGTGATTTATAAAACATAATTTGACTCTATCTCTAATTCTAACATTATATTTCAATTTTTAATGATTAATTGAATTTTTTTTAATTTTTAAATTATTAAATTTTTTTTAAATTAAATTAATTTTATTTTTAATTATTTTTATTATAAATGTAATTTATTTATTTATTTTTCTGTTTCTTAATGTTTTAGTGCGATTTTTTTTTATTGTAATTAATTTCATTAAATTTATTTTTATTTTTTCTTAATTTTCTTATATATTTTAATCCCCGCGAGTTTTTTTTAATAACCGATCCTTAACTCGATTCTAAATATCGAAATCGATTCAAATCCCTTCACCTAAAATTAATGTAACGCTCTCAGACAAGGTAGATTATTCATTAATTTCATTAATTTTTAAAATCAACATTAAATACATGTATTTCTTTTGTTAGATAGTGATGTCGCTCGAAAGTTTCATGTATATATATTAATTATTCAAGTCAAATGATATTTTCACATCTTTGTTATTTTAAAACGCCTTTTTTACATTCAGTATGAAAAGTGGCAAAATCACGCTAAATTCTTTCATAATCTAGTTAAAAAAAAAAATGTTAGGCATGCAAGACTCGAGTATACAGTATGTCATCTATTGTAGATCAAGCATTTTATTTTTCTATTAGTTCAACAAATAAAGCAGGAGTTTTTCAAAGTCGTTAACAAAAAATTAATTATTTGATATTATTTCAAGTTTCATTCATTCATTTATTTATTATTTTAGTAAGATTTACCATAGAATAAAATTGAAAAGATTTTACATGAAGAGATAATACTTCAACCATGTCGCGGCCGGACTTAAATACATATATTTTAACCGGTTAATAATTAACCGGGAGAACAAAAGTATTGGCACGGTAAGAATGATTTACAAAATTATCTAATTCTTGACCGTGCAATATTTTTCTAACAATCTTTATATAATATTTGATGAGCATCATTTGAAGTTTATATAGCTGTTTATAAGCTACAGCTACAGCTGCAGCTATAGCATATGCTGTTATATTATCATTAGAATAAATTTGTGATTTAAGCTTTCTGGTATACTTTTGTATTATGTTAAATTTAATCATCATACAGTATTTAACTAGAATTTGGGTTTGCAGGGTACTTCGTCCCCATTTAGCATTAAATGATTAATCGCATAACCAATTCAATTATACTTAAAATTTATTATATATGTACATTTAACAATTTTTTAGCAAAATATTTAATTATTTTTGATAAAAAATAAGTCAAAATAATTTTAATTTTATAATGGTAAAGAAATGGCGACCTTTTGTTCTAATCGATCATTTTCTTTAAGCATTGATTCATTTGTAATAAAGAATGTAATGAAGCAATATGCATTTTTGACCAATTAGAGAATTGGCTTAATGCAACATATGCTTGACCAGCAGAGAAAATTTGATGTCAAGACATAAAGATACTTCAGGTAAAGTTAATCCTTATGTTTTATGTACTATAAGAGCAAATGCATTTTGCAAGGGAAACTGACATTTACTTGATGGTTTTCATCAATTATAAATGTAATTGTTTCTTTTTAAATTTCAATATCAATAATGCCAACCATAACACTAAAAGCTATTCTTATTTGTAGAGTTTTCAAATTAATATCAGTTATAACTCCAACAGTGCTGTTACATATATTTTGTTCTATTAAATTATTTTTAAGATACATTATACAAGCACTTTATTGTAAATGTAAATAACTTGAAAGATTAGTTTTCTTTTTAAATAATTTTTGAGAATCGTCTGGATTGAATTGCTGTTCATTAATAAAATCAATAGCTAAGCTGATTAAATATTTATCTTCATTTACAGAAAGCATATTACAAATAATATTGTTGATTTGATAAGCAGTTTGTTTATATCCAATGATATTTGTAATGTTAAGAGTAATATTAAATGGTTTATGATAATCAAACATTCTAGTTTTTTGATAAAAAAGATCATATATTTAATGATATATTATCTAATCTAATTTTCTTGTAATTTATTATAATATTATATATCTTGATTTTATCTTTGAGATTGCTTTAAGAATAAAGGATAAAACAGTTTTCATTCCAGTGATTTATATATAGGTGATCCAGTTATTAGAAGCAATTAAACTAAATTACCAATAGCTATTATATTTAATTCTTCAAATACAATTATTTATTGTTAAATAACTAAAATATATATGAAATAAAACTAAAAAGTCTAGCAGATAATATTGAAATTTTATCCATAATTAAAGTATCAATATTTTTAAAGTATTAAAATATTTATAATCATTAAAAACTAATGTTTAAAATCCACCAGATGTTTCATGACTTCTTAATATTGAATGTATTGTTTCTTCTCTTATATTAGTTATAACTACCCCAGTTGAAGCTAATAATAAGTAATTAGATTTTTTGTTTTTTAAATCATTTATAATTAAATTAATTATAAATGATTTTTTAGTATTAGCTGAGCCTGTTATAAAATAAATAAGGATATTTATTTTTTAATATATTAGACCTAAGATGTTACAATAGTTAAAATTACATTTAATTGATTATTTAAAAGATTTAATGTATTAAATTGAAGATAATAGGTAGATTAATTCATAAAGCATGAAGATGAATAATAATAAAGTCTGATATAAAAGCTGAAAGAACAGATTATAAATTATTAATTAAAGTATCTAATAATTGATTTAATAGTGAATCTAATTTTAATTGTTGAGAATGTATATATTCTTGAGTTATTTATTAAATAGTTTTATTTAATTCAAAATATTTATATAACCAATAATCACAATATGTTAAAAAATTTTCAAGTAAATCTTCTTTAATTCTATATAGATTTTTAAGTAATAATTTTGATAAAAAAATAATTGTCTATCTTGTAATTTAAGATGTTAAAATCTAACTAATTTTGGAATTGATCTTTTATTTATATAATTGTCTAAGTTATCAATATGAATTAGATATCTAGTTATTGGTCTGATTAATAATATTTTATAATTTTGAAAATATTTTGAATAAGTTAAGTTGTTAAATTCTTCTTCATTTAGATAGTTGAAATATTTTTCAATATGATCTGTCTAATAATAATCATTATTATTTTTATTAATTAAATAAATAGGATGAATAGCTTTAGTCTATTTGTTAGAGGATCAGTAGTAAGATAAATAATAAAAGATAAAGAATTACAAATAGTTTTACTTAATATTAAAAATATTAACCTAATTTCTAGCTACTACTCTAAATTTATCACCTTCTTTAATGTTAAAAATATGAGATAGTTCTGATTTTACTATGTATTTTGTTAAATAAAATGTTAATTTTCAAGAACTTATATAATATATATTTATATATACATCCCAAATTAATAAAATTTGTAGGTGATAAAAAACTATCTATTGATTATCTAGATTAATACATTTATAAATATATATTTATATTTTATTATTAAAGTATATAATTAAAGAAAAAAGATCAAAAAAACCTTTTTGCAAGTATATTTTAGAGCAGCAGGACTACCACATTTTAAATTATATGTAAATATTTAATTTACTTTTTACTTTAGCATATTTTAAGTTCTAAATTTTTAAAATTTTATATAAATATTTCTAGTGACTTTTAGCTATTATAAGTTTAAGAAATATTGATGATAATCTATATGAAAAAATTATTGTATTTATATAAAATTCTTTTTAATAAAAATATAATTTTTCAGTGTAAATAAATATAGGTAAAGTAATTATTAATAATTCGTCTATTATTAATTTATAAAAATAATTTAAAGTTTGAATAAGATATACTGCAGTTGGTAAACAATTAATTTTATCAGCTTGTATTTATCTCTATATATGTTAATTATTTTAATAATTTCATAATTTTTCTAGTTATAAATATGATTATGCTAATAATTTATGATGAAGTCTAAATTATGAATCAAAATTAAGTATTCTTTGTTTAATATATTTAGAATAACTTTCTTCATAAATAAAATTTAAATCAGAAAGATTATTATAATAATGTCTTTTTTTCATTTAAAAATAAATCAGGAAATAATAATGCTTCTAATTTTAGATCATTTATAGATATATACTAACAAATCCTACTATTAAGTTTGAATAATGATGATAATCTTTATCATAAATCTCAATATTAAAATTAATATTTAGAACAACAATATTATTAAGTAAATATGATGGTATAAAATCATTTTCAGATAAATAAAAAGTACTAGAAAATAAGTTAGTTGTTTTAAGAGTTAGTAAATCTAAAAAAATGATAATAATTTTTTAAAAAAGGATTATTTTATTTTAACTAATTAATAACTTGAATTAATATATAATTAAGCTAATTATATAAATTTTAAAGATGATCACCACAATTAAAAAATAGTATAATTGATTGCAACTTATGATACAATTAAATTTCTTTATGATGCAATTAAGTTGCAACTAAATTAAAATTTGAAAATAATTATGGTGATTATTTTTAGTGAATTTATTAATGATTATCTTTAAAATAAGTAGTAATCATTCTAGAA